ATTTAACTAATTAACCACAATATTGTCCTAACATTATTTCTCACGAATTTACTTTCTTCATATTTCTAAATATTATTGCTTATTAATTATATGCAATATCTTTAAAGGTTGATGGACAGGATTGTCAAATTGTAAGAGGAGAAACAAAACTATTCGCTATATATATGTCCTATTATAAATGGATGTATGANAATGAACTATCCAAAAATTTCTTACTTTGACTGTCGCTTGGGGTGGTGTGGCGGCGGTATCGGTTTTTTAATGACAAATTAGTAATACATTAATATCTATACTATCTTACTAGTACGTGGGCCGTGGGATGCACGAGAAAAAAATTACGATTGTATTATAAATTAGATATATAAATAACAATAATCATAATTTATCAATTGCTTTAAAAATAGGATCGGGCTGAACAGTCTGACCGGATAGATCCATAACCGGTTTATCGACCATTCTAGTTCACTTGAATAAAATATTTGCTAGAGAACCGATCACACCAGCCAGTCGAACTGGTAAAATCGTACGTTTTTTTGAATAATTTTTGTTACAATTAAAATTATTTTTAATATAAACAGAAATATATATTTAAATAAAACAGAGATTTGTAAATTATTTATTAATTAATTAAGGAATTGGAAAATTTTATATTTTCAAATATTTAATTGATATTTTTATATAATTTTATTACAAAAAAGTACTATATATATATTTATAAATTAATAAATTAAATCTTGACACAACCAATAAGTCATTGAATAAATAACTTGATCGGTTTGAAGATGACCATTTTTTTGTAAACCTTGGATTTACCGTACATTAATAAAGTTGTAATGCAAGATCATTTTGTTCACATAAATATTAAAAAAACAATATATAAATGTGCACATTAAAATTATATTTGGTTTAAATTATCGATTTGGTCTGTCTAAACTGACCCATAGTTTGGTCAGGCGAGACCAAATATAATAATTTTGAAAATTTTGAAATTAATTGACTGATTATGAAGTTACGATAACTCGATATATTACTCTACCTAAAAAATCCTTACTCTGATATATTTTTTAGTGAAAAATTAGTAATTCATTAATATCCATACTGATATAGCATAAGAGACTAGCTCGTAAAACCGGATAGAAGGAAACTTGACCCATAAACCGGTAAGTAGGTAAAATGAGGGGAATAGCAACAACTCGGTCTGGTGAAGGGCCCGTTAGCCCGTTATAGCAACAGTTCGGCCTGATAAAGGATCCATCAGCTAGTCATAACTATAGCTCAGTATTATATCTGTTCGGCCCAATGAGAGCAGTAATAGCTCGACATATATGGCCCAATAAAGACTAGCAATAGCTCGGTGTTATGCCTGTTCGGCACTAAAGGAGCTCGGGAATAGCTCGCTAGTAGTAGTATATGTTCAGTACCATGCAACAAGGAGCCTTGAAGAAAAGGATAGCATGTGATAAGATAAAAGCCGAGCTGAGACAACTTTTGTTATATATGAGGCCTTTAAATTGGTTTTGGTCCTAACTGATTGAATAGTTTGAGCCCAAAATACATAGTTTGTTTAAATTGTTTTATTTTTAGTTGATATCATTAGTTTCATTTTGACCTAAATTTGAGGTCATCTAAAAGTTCGTGACTAAAGTGACTACCTACATTTTAATTTCTTTATTGATCCACAATTACGCAAGTATAAACTTTTATGAATAAAAATAGCATAATGTGTTAACTATTGTTAAACTTTTGTTATTATAACATATGTTTTTTTTTTGCTTAAAAGAATGACAATAATATGTTATTGCTATTGAATCATTGCAATATATTACTCTTTTATAATTTGTATAATATAATTTAAATGTGTTATTTTTTAAGAAAGTTCTATCAGTGTACATTTTAAAAAATTATACTAAATTATATTTTGCATGAATTTACGTGCACAAAATAGGTAATTTGTTAATGACATGAACATTCACGATTATTGCGCCGATTTGTAACTTTAGAAAGGATGATCCATCTTGAATGTCATTGTGATTACCATCAGACTTATTTTGCAAATAATAAAATTTAAATTTATTTGGTCAATTAAAAAAAGTGAGAATTATATCGACATAATTTGAAACTAAATGCATACAATTGGAAATTGAGTCATTTTGTTGTTTTTTATTAAACATTTATTTTATATTTTTTTATTGGCTCATATTTTTATATATTTATTTCAATTATTCTATATCAGTTTATCTATATATTTAGTAATAATAAAATGATGAAAATTATATTATTATCGAGACATTTTTAGGAAAAAGTTTCAAGGGGCGTTATTAATGTGACAAGTACCAATTTTCATTGAATATCACCATTTTTTTTAAGTTAGATTTATTAAATTTAATTTTTTTTTTTTTATGAAAAAAAACAACATATAATCATTTGTAGTCACAATCACATATATATTGTTGTTTCTAGAGTCATGGATCCCTATTGTCTTATGATATATTGAATACAGTACATTCATTATTAATGTTATATTTAGAAAAACATTTTAATACATTTTTAATATATATTTTTTATTTATTTAAATTATAATTCATTCACGTCATTTCTAACACTAGTCTTTTCACGGTGGTTAAATAAGTAATTGATGGTTACTTAAGTGCAAGAATCATAATGATGGCATTGATTGTTGTTGAATTTATTTTCCCGCGAGTTTTGTTCACTAGGTCAATAACCACCACCATAAATCAAAGTTGTGATGAATATGATACACAATTCGTGAAAGTCATTTTCAACCAATTTTTAATTATGAACTTCTAATAATTACTAGTAAAAACACTCAATTTTTATTTCTATTTATCCAACAATTTGTTGAACCACCAAGCATAATCAACAATATGAAGGTGTTTTTTAGCTGCAATTTGACCTAATTTAATAATATATTTACGACAAATTCACGACTCGAATGAGCTAATATTTTTCAACGGCAAAATTTGGCTTTTCTTTCCCTATTTCCCTTTTATGTTTATTGATTTTTTTTTTTAAAAAAGAACACTCAGAGGGGATTAAGGTCAGATCTCCAACATGTATATAATCAAGACCCTAAATAGGCCAAAAAAATCACAGGTCTACACAAGTGCAACTATAAACCGAAAGTAAAAACGAGAAAAAGAAAAAGACGACGGCCAAAAGGAAAAATCGAAACCTGGGCTGACAGGTGCCCAGACAAACTGTCTACTCCACAAAGTGGGGCGAAGCACAAAAAATAGGACGACTGCTAGAATCTAAACGAAGGGTAGCCCACCTGGTCCATCTCCAGAAGAGTACAAAGGCGGAGAGGGGTGTCATCCAGGTGGAAGGTGCGCCTCTGAGGGGTGGAGGCACTTAGGCTAGCCAGGTAGTCAGCGGGTCGGTTCCCTTTGCAGAAGATGTGCGATATCCGGAAGCGAACCGACTGAAGAGTGGATTTGATGCGCATGAGTTGGAGCTGAATTTGTCACGAGCCCTAGTAGCCTGAAGTCAAGAGAGTGACAACAACGGCAAACTTACTTCTGGACAGGCTGGAGCTCTGCTGGACAGGCCTACCTGAGCTGGCTTCTCAAGATCTGCCGAGCTATTCTGAGTCAACATCAATCTATCACAGTCGAGCTCGTCAACAATGGTGATCGTCGTTCTACGAATAACCCATCCAATAAAATTATGCAAATCAACCCCAAATCCAATCATCGCGCTTCTCCTAACCAAACCTCTGGAAAACCCTAAAACCCCAATTCTCCAACAACAGCCCTTTCATCTAATCCCTCGAATTTCCCCGAGTACGAGATGCCCACCGTGACCTGGGGCGTGGTCCAAGGCCGCAAGGAGAAGCTCGTGTCCCGGGTCATCGTCTGCGACTACAACAAATCGTTAGGCATTTTGCTCGACGAGCTCGAGGCGCTCGAGCTGCCATCTGAGGTCATGCGCTAGCGTGTCGAGTTCCTACAGAGAATAGGCCTCATCATTAACGAAGGAAACATTGAGATAAAATTCGCATAAGAACCCTAGATATGTTAATTTGAATTTCAACAAATATTTTGCCCTAAATTGAATTCAGATGGAGCCCAAGAGACATTGGATAAAATGACGTTGATTCCCTTAAATTTGGTATGTGCATCTCGCACGTTCACTTTTGCAGTGGAAATTGAACCGCCAATGGGAAGAGGTTGTGATATAGACATGTTGTGTATGTTGCAATCAGAGGTGGACGTAGACTTTAAGGACAACGGGGGCACAAGTCAACGGTCAAATTAATATGTAACCAATTAAAAAAATGAAAAGATTAAATCTTGACCAGACACCTTGTTTCTTATTTAATAGCTAGGGTTGAGTCTCACATTCTCATTTTAAGAATAGAGACATATTTGATCCAATCCCTATATAGTATATAGATTTATGTATAATATATATATTTCTTTTTATGTATTTTGGGAGAGAAAAGGAAATAAACAAGAAGTTGAGTATAACATAAGCATAAATTCCACAACTTAAAAAATAACATTCTATTGAAGGTTAAATAATTCTAAACATTTCCTTTTTATTTTTTATATTGAAATAGCTTGCATAATAATTAATAATGTGTAATTTTTTATGTCAATATAATAATACATTTATACACATAACATATATACATATATACTATATTACTAAAAAATTTCTACAAGGGCCCGTGCCCCTACGAGCCCCTGTGTAGATCCGCCCCTGGTTGCAATTCACTACAAAAAAATTTGAGATTACAAATTTTAAATTTTAAATACACTATTATTATTTATTTTTTCATAATATAAAACACTCATCTCCAACATTTAAAGAAATGCTTACTTTTACCTTTAGATGCATAGCCAACACAAAAACGTAGTAGCTATTACATTCGTTAGAGAAATGCTATACCAATCACAATCGGACATCACCTATCCTAACATCAGAACGGGAGATAAAGTATAAANAACAAAATAAGTAAAACAAACAGAAGTGGATGAAAAAGAAAACACCAAAAGCCAATTAACGATATCATTACAACCACAAACTGCAGTAGCAGATTTATTTTATTACAAAGCACACGACCAGCAATCTCAAACAATACAACCACACATCTCTCTCTCTCTCACACACACAAGCACAATTTTGACAGCCAGAAATCTCACAAGTCACAAATTGGAACAAGCAACAAGATTTCTCATAGACTCTTACACTCAGCAAATTCATCATGAACCTCTGGTGACGACATGTGGCACGACACAAAAACACGATACAGAATTTAATGGGCTGAGACTGACCCGTAAACCACAAGTGGAAGACCCAAAACCGGCCCAAATATCCAATTTCAACTGAGGGATGGAAATTGGAAAGCCCACAACGACAAGTAACCATAAAAATCAACAAACAAAGCTTAATGGTAAATGGAAAGTGGGACCATTTTTCTTCTTTATCACCAAAATGCGCATGCTCACAAAATCCATGGAGTTTTTATTCCAATACCGGGAAAAAGGGGAGTCCTTTCACACCACCATATCAACATAACCATGCGTTCAAATCTGTCATGCTTTCTTCAAAAACCCCCGCTTCAAAAAAACAAAGAAAAAGGCACTCTTAAAAAAATAATCATTTCAAGTCCACAATCATAGCTCCAATTTTTTCTTCACCCGAGTGTAATGAGATGAGACTGAGATTGAAAGACACGAATAAAAGCTCCCCCATCCCATTAAGCTTGCTCCAACTTTATCAAAAGGGTCTGTGGCCAAAAGAGGAAAAAGATAACACACCTTTACTACTACTTTCAAAAACTGACCATGATTATATCCATACACGCCCTTGGTCTAGGGAGAAATGACGGATTCGCCCCTGGAGTAACTTAGTCCGAGGGCTTCGGCTTCGGTTCTCATTGATTTTAAGTAAACAATTGCCTTATCGATAACGGAAAGTGGGTCTTTCTCATCAAGACCAGGAATAATACTCTCTAGGATTCTCAATGCTTGACGGATTTTAACCTTCTTCTCTCTCTTGACCGAATCGATTTCATCACCAGAGAGATTTCCATGGCCGGTCCATGGTGATTTCTTGAACTTACTGTCGAGCAATTTTCGTCTTTTCTGCGTGTCGTTAGAATCCAACACTTGTTCTAATGGTTCCTCGACTAATTTGTCATCTGTGAAAGGTGTGTGGCCCGTGCTAGCTACTTCATCATCGTCTTCGTTATCATAATCATCACTATCAGAATAAAATAATGCATCGATTTCTTCAGTATCTTCGCGAAAATCATGCTCACCTTCTCCATCAGTCAAACGATTTTCGTCCCATTTTTCTTCAGGTGTCGGATTTGTCGAGAACTCGGGATTTACACCAGCTGTCGTTACACCAGGTGCAAAAAACTGATTTTGAGGGGGAAATGAAGGGCTAAAAAGCAATTTCGTCTGGTATTCTGATTGATCAAAAATAAGGAACATTTTCTGCGGCGCATACAGAGTATCATCAGTCGCTTTAATGCCAACTAACTCGTTTTCGGTCGGAAACGAGATATTGCGGTTTCGAGGCATCGGTTTTGAAAACCGATCGGCTGCATTTTCTTGGCCTGTTTTCGAAACAGGCAAATAGTTAGAAGCAGACTGCCCTGGAAAAGTAGCAAGATTGGCAGTCAGCTCTGAAGGAAGAAAAAATGGCACGCTATAATTTCGGCCGTTCCGTAAAAGTGCCATGTGATCCAAATAGGATACGTTCCGAGACTCTTTGGCCGAAAACATCGTGCCAAAAGAGAGAAAAACCTGCTGACACATAGTAGTAACAGACATCAAAACTGGGAGAATGATTGAGATAACTAACCATAGTACCACAAAGGTTAATAAATAGTCATACCGGGATTATGCTAGTATGTAGTCCTGCGACTAAAATTACTTTTGAATATTTTAAAAGCGAAAAGGAGAGTGAAAAGACAAAATCCTGCTAGGTTGATGTGAAGGATGTGAAATTAGGACCAAACTACGTAACGGGTTTCAGCAAGTGCCGGAAATATTCAGCCTGGAAAACAGTTAACCACGGAAATTAGTGTATATGCAAAAACAGTTGATTGAGTCACTATAGACAAAAACTCGAGTAATAGATAAATAAATAAAAAACTAACCTGGCAATTTTGCAAAGATTGAAAGCATGCTATAACTCTAACAATTATGGTAGTTCTTCCAGCGATCCCATTTTCATGTTTAAGTGCCCTAAATCTTGTCTGGCTTGCTGCTTGGCACACCATAACTACTTTTGACTCGTTTGAGTGTACTTCAGAAGGAAATTTTGAAAGTTTCGACACACCAAGGACAATGATAAAAAGAAATAAGAAGTTCCAGCTAAAATAAATATGGTAATAGCTATGAACTCTAGTTGGACCAGACAGTTGACTTGCACAGGGAAGAAATCTAACAAAGAACAATAAAAAGTTAACTCGAGTAATTAACTGAAACTAGGTGATGAAGATTGAAAAGAACTAGAGAAAACTAACGGCTCTATATATCTCGGGAACTTTATAGAATGTAGAAAAAACAAATGAAAAAAGGCAAGTGATTGGATCCCATGGATGATTAATAAGAACAATGAAAGATTAAACAAGGAATTGGTTTCAACAGAAAATGAGCAAACTTATAGAATAACCCTGCAGTATAAATTCAAGGAAATAACATAGCGAAAAACGTCGATCGACAAACTCAGCCACTGCATATTTGTTCACACTCTTACATCCAGAAAATTATTGCAACTGAGTATTGTATACATAGAGAAAGACAAGACAAGCCACCTGAAACAAGAACAATAGAGTTTTAT